ATATAATAAATTTGTATTCATACGAAATGAATAAAAATTGATAAAAATTATGGTTTATTGATCATGAAAAAAACAAATTGTGATGTACACTTACTTAATATCCATTCATTGGAATTATAAAAATATAAAAAATTGTGGCTTGTAGCTGATGAAAATCATGAATTTTGATATACACATAATAAATTTGCATTTGCTCAAAATAGAAAACTTGACAAAAATCATGGGTTAGAACTCATGATAGTCACAAATTTTCATATACACATAATTAATCTGCATTCAAACAAAAATTGACAAAAGTTATAAGTTTTGGCTCATGAAGTGAATTTTGACGTACACATAATAAATTATTTTTCATTCAAAATGGGAAAAAAACTTGACAAAAATCACGAGTTATATCTCATAAAAAATCACTCATACTGCATAATTGATGAAATAAGGTTTCAGTCTTCAATCTTGCTTTGTCATTTCTTGAAGTGCTCACGTCTTATTAGTAGTTTTTTATAATGCTATTAAGTACTATCCAATATGCACATAACATGGCTTAGTTGCTCAGTATTTGAGTTTTATGTTTTAGTTTTCTAGGCAATTAGGTGTTATTTGATTGCCTACAGGTTCTAGCTCAAGTATATTTTCGCCAGTTACATAGTACATCCCAGAGAAGCATTTATAAGACTTGTTGTCACTGTTATCGTGTTATTACAGTCGCTGATTTTTTTGGGAGTCGTGTACAATTCAATTTTTGATTTATAGGTAAACTTAGATGCTAAACAAGATGAATGCCACATTTCCTTTTGGAGGCTGTTTGGTTCAATTTCTGTAAAAAAGAGGGAAAAAATACTCAAATTTTGATTTCCTTGTATTTATATAAAATCATACTCTCTTTAAAAGTATGAGTTCTGAAAAATCTTTTAGTAGACAAAAATACCATTGAAATTCAAATACTAATTTATTAAGTAAGAGTAAGTTGATAAATTGATGAATTCTTATTGGATATACATAATATGAAAATAATAATATAGTTAAAATTGAAATATAAACTTGAATGAAATTATTAAATACCAGATTTATAAATGTATACAAGATGAATGACGTATATGTAAAAAAACCAAACAAATTAGTGAGACAAATAATGTTTGCCCTAGAGGTCGAACCCAAGAATAACACAAACCTACAAATGTACATAATATGGACATGGTATTTGCAAAATCCACCAAATAAATTAAAGAGATAAAATCGTTCTAAAAATTATAAAAAGGGAAAATTAAAACAAACGGCTGCGATATGAGGACACAACGTGGTAATTTCTCACCAACCAAAATTCAAGTAGTTTACGGTACTGCATAATTAGTTTTAAAGTTTAATTATACTGTTATTATTTAAATAGAACTATATTTACAATTGTTATCCTCTCACATTCAACATCACATACCAATGTTTATAAGCTAAGAAACTATAACGAGTACCGTAGCACTTTCATCTCCTTCTATATGTATATGACTTTGTTATTTTCTTCTTAGTAGATTAGATTAGATTATTTTAAAGTAATTAATTATATTGTATATTTAATCTTTTTTCATATCAAGAAATATCAATAAATTTCACAACACTTTCATCTATTTTCTTCTTATTATATTAGATTGGATTATTTTAAAATAATTAATTATATTGTATGTTTGATCTTTTGTTTAGATAAAAAATTATGACAGTTTTCATAGCACTTTCATCTCCTTCAACAGGTACTTGCCTTTGTTATTTTCTTCTTATTAGATTAGATTAGATTGTTTAAAAATTATGAATTATAAAATTATAATAATTTTCACATCATTGTCATATTTTTTCTTCTTGTTAGACTATATTAGATTACTTTAAAGCAATTACTTATATTGTATGTTTGATTTTTTTTCATATCACAAAGTTTAAATATACTATCATCATTTAAATAGATACTACTTGCATAAAAATCAAAGAGAATCTCACACATATTTTAGATATTAATGTCAATTGTAATTTTTACACATGGGTGTTGGTTAAAATAAATTTTATGTATGGGCTTAGATAATTTAATTTTTTTAATACCCAAACTCTTCCACAAAATCAAAAGAGAATAGCAATGCTATAGCTATATGTATCCACAGGACCACATATATCTTAAAAATGAATGAAGAAAAGCGCACAAATAAAAATCATATTAATTACTGTTTGTAGGAAAAATACAAGAAAATTTGAAAGGAAATGTTTTTAATTTTCCTTAATCAATTTAAGAAAAGAATGAATACAATCTCTCACAGTAATATCTCTCTAACCAACTTAGAAAAAAATTATAAATTTTCTTTATCGGTTTCCCGATTTACAAAAGAGATCAAGATCAACGAAGATTTTCCCATTTGTTTAAAGCTAGGTTCTTCTTGGCGGCGATTGGAATTTGAATCTTGTATCATGTTGACAATCCGAGCACTCGCTTCGTGGAATATGGTTTATTCCTCTTGACTTGACGTCGGAAAGAACTTGCAAGACAAGTTTAAAAACTCTTAACAAGTTAAGAACTTTGAACGAGTTTAAAACTTTGTAAAAGAGTTGGTTTCAGAAAGAAAATTAATCATTTTCAATTTAACCGAAATGGTTCACAAGCCAATACACAAGCTTCAAGAAAAGCTAATTCAAGATGATCTAAAAAAGGATCCCTTTGTACTTGACTTCTCAGCTATTTATAGGGGTTTAAGGGTTATAATTGCCCCCTTAAATCACTTCTTAATGAGGGTTTAAGGACTTTAATTCATGGAAAACAGTTTTAAAGGGTTTAAGGGGTGTAACCGCCCCCTTAAATCACTACTTAATGAGGGTCTAATGCCCTTAATTCGTGAAAAACGGTTTAAGGGGTGTAATCGCCCCCCTAAATCACTCCTTAATGAAGGTTTAATGCCCTTAATTCGTGGAAAATAGCTTTGGAACCGTTTAAAACGTGTTTGAATGGGTCAAACGCGAGATTCGCGTTCTGGAAACAACCCTCGCGTTTAGAACTGAAAACGCGATGGTGAGCTCCACGTCTTGATCCTAGAATGCGGCGATGAGCTCCACATTTTGAACTTGGAACATGGTGGTGAACTCCACGTTTTGAGCTTGGAATGCGGTGATGACTTCCGCGTGTTGCTTTGAAGAGATCATCAACTTGTAATCTCTTCTGTTAGAGTGTTGCAAGGATTGTCATCTTGTAATCCTGGCCTTTGACTCTTTGAAATGTGAGAGTCATCAATTTGTAACTCTCGTTTGTTGTTGCGAAAGTTTTCAGATTGTAACTTCCGTCATCAGTTGTTGTGAGAATTGTCAAATTGTAACTCTCATTGATTGATATGAAAGCTGTCAGATCGTGACCATCATTTGTGCTTTGTGGGGATCAGCTATCCACAATAATTTTTAGACAGCATACAATTACCTACACGCACCCACTATTTTCAAAACCGCCCTTCTTCATCTCAGTCTATTATATATTCACATACCAAATTAAACTGTTGGAGTTTCCCCTCACCAACTACACCATTGATTAACTTTCCTTTCTTCCTTTGTACTTAAATTGTATAAAATTCATTATGATGAAGACTCACATTGGTCTTCTGCCTGCCTTGAACGTCCAACCAAAAAAATAATACACTAGGCATTGTAGTTAGTTAATAACGAGATTCTACCATTATAAACAAACTAAGTAAAGATTAATAATTCTTAAGAATGTACCAGGTTCTGCTATTTTCCACTGTAAACTTGTTAGTTGTTTATTCCTACCCCAAGAAGTTTTCAAAATTAATCATCTATTTCATAAATTTTTAAAAAATATTTAAATAAAACTTATGACAAATGTAATAATCCATGTTTATATATTTTAACTCAAAATGAATCTGACTTATTTTATAGTAAGAAATAAAACAAAAAATAATAATTTTAATATTTAACCACGTGCATTGCACGTGCACAAGAACTATTTTGTAGGAAAAAAATTATAGAACTCAAAAGAGTACCATATTTCTTATTTTTTGCTATTTCTTTGTTTGGTTCAAAGTATAAAAAAGTTTCTTATGATATACATCATAAGAAACAAAAAAGCAATAGCCCCGGTGGGGTGGGGCAGGGGAGATGAAGAATTTTATACTTCTTTCTCATATATATATATTTTTCATATTTTATTTTAGATGTTTTTATACAAAACCATCACAAAATATAGTGACTTTTTTTAAGACCACCACAATTTTTTTATTTTCATAGAATCACCACAAAATATAGTAATTTTTCAGAGAACCACCACAATTTTTTTTTATTTTCATAGAACCACCATGAAAATACACATCAATAACAAAGTACCACCAAATTATAATTTTGCATCTATATCATGTTAACATAAATAATATGTTAAATCCCTAAAATACCCTCATGGTGGGACCCACCAATCTATTGTTATATTTTCTCAAACCAACAAAATATTTAAGCACCATTAATGACCTAGATGGTTGGAAGGTTCCAACATGACTCCCACTATCTTCTAGATGGTTGGAAGGTTCCAACATGACTCCCACTATCTTGGGTTCGATTCCTAAACGCCTCATTATAATTAAAAAACAAAAACAAAAATAAAATACCTTATTTCCTCTATAACTTTATTAGCTCCCTCCAAAAAGTTTTAATTCCCTACAAATACCCCCATTCATCCTCTATAAAAATTTATCATAGTGAGCATTTATGTCATATTATACTATTATTTAACAAAATACAGATGTAAATTATGACTTGGTTGGACTTTGTAAAAAACTAATATTTTCATTGTGGTTTTATGAAAAATAAATTTTTTGTGGTGGTTTTTCAAAAAATCAATATATTTATAGGGACTCAATGAAAATAAAAAAATTTTATGACATCCCCCCCCCAAAAAAAAAGGCACTGTATTTCATTATTTTGTGGTGGCATTGTATAAAAAACCCTTTATTTTAATATACGTGCGCCAGACGCGAGGAGTTTACAGACGCTAATCTTATCGGGTCAGGACCCAAATCTGCCCATTTGGGCTGCGAAACCTACTTCGTCTCCTCCAAATGCACGCTGGTGCCAGCGAGAGGGAAGAAGAAGAGAAAGAAGAATACAATGGAGAAAATCTCTGCTGCGTGCGCCATGAACTGGAGCATCGAGCTCGAAAAAGGCCTGCGCTCCAACAACCCAGGTAAGTACAATCAACCCCACTCGCCCAATCTCCAAAACCCTGGTCTCAATTCCCCTTCACTTCTAAATCCCAGCTCGTCGACTCGAGGCAATATCCCAAATTGGTCCCAGACTCAATCAATGGAGCAAAGAACCCATCGTCACTTTCGGCGTCTCATCCATCTATGGCCTCGTCCCCGGAGAAGACAGGCTCTTCGCCAACACCATCCTCCTCCGGCTCGCCGAAGCTTTCGGCAGCGGCGATAACGCTACAAGAAGAGGCATTGTGAAGATTTTCATGGCGGAGTTGAAGAGAATTTTGAAGGAGGGGAGAAAGTACGATGGGATTCTGTCGAAGGAGAGAGTGCCCAATTACGTTGAGATGATTAAGAGAGTCAAGAAAGCTTTTGACGGTGGTGATTTGGAGGCAAAGGTGCTGGCTTTGAGGCTGTTTGGTTGCTGGGTTGATCTTGCGAAGGACAGTGTGCAGATAAGATATATGATTTTGTTGAGTTTGCAGTCTTTGGATGTTTCGGAGGTAAAGGCTCTTGTGATTGGTTGGGCTTTTTTTTTTGTTTGGGTTATGGGTTTTGGTTGATTTGGGTTTTTCCCCCTCGTGCAGGTGAAGGCTGCATTGTTTGCTGCTGGTTGCTTTTGTAGATTATCTGAGGATTTTGCGTGTGTTGTTTTGGAGATGTTGGTCGGTATTATAACATCAGAGAAAATATCTTTGGATGTGAAGCTGGGTGCAATTCGCATTTTCGCTAGAATGCGATGCTCGTCTTCTATTGCTTATAAAGCTTACAAGGTTTCCTTTTCTTTTTTTAGTTGCTTATAAAGCTTATAAGGTTTCTTCTTTTTATATACATGATATCATTGTTGCTACTTTGACTGGTGTTTTAAGTCTCAACTTTTGTATGATTAATTACTTTCCCAGTATGCATTTGTGTAAATAGAGCTGCAAAATCTAACAGCAAAGGCCATTCAGTATACTTTGTAAGATGTGTTGTTTTTGTGAACTGGCATGAAAGTAACTGTAGTATTCATCTTAATCATTTGCCGCTGATTGGTGCAGGCTGGTAAAGAGCTGATGTTATGTTTACAAGAAGATGAACTGAAAGCTGAAATGTTGTCATCACTCTCGAAATTGGCTTTTGGTTCGCATAATTTAATTCCTCAACAGGTATTCATTTTGATATGCCTATATACTTCTACTTTTATACAGTAATTCAGTAGCTGAATTCATTTAGTTTTTTTATTGGTTAGTTTAGTTTCTGCCAAAAGAAACAAATCAAAGTTTGAAGCCTTTTTAAAACCTAATATTTACTTTCTTCCTGTCTACAATTCTGAGCTTAACTTTGTAGAATATTCCTGATCTTCACACCATTCGGAATTAATTGACGTGACAGAACTGTAAAACATTTTACGTTTAATTATGAGATTATCTCGTTGCGACTAATCCTGAAAATCTACTTATTGACATTTGTTTCTATGTGCTAAGTTCAGTTCAGCTCAGTTATGCCTAGCATTAATCAAAAGAAAAGCCAGCCAATTGGGTCTTGGCTAATATGAGAAAATGCATTTCAGATTTTGTTTTTTGGGAAGGGGGGTGGGGACTTACATGACATATTTAAGACGAGTGTAAATTCAGAATTAGGTGATTTCTAGCAGAATCATCCAGTATTTCAGACTCTTGTCATGACTCTCGAATACAGCCAGTAGGAGAGTGGGATCATCCAACGCGTGATGTTATATTTTTTTTATTGTTTACTCTAAACAATGGGTAATAGTAGTATAACATTAGTTATAAGTTAGCTTACTAATAATTATGTTAAATTCATAAAAAATGATTGCCTAATATTGGATATCAAAATTTTAACTAGATATTACTGATTACTGTTTAATTATTAGTAAAATGTCAAAATAGAATAATTTTGAGCATAAAATATGTAAAAAACATAATTTCATATAACAATATGACACAACAGTTATCATGAAATACAACATATAATGTCAACCTTGTACCTCAAGGATATAACACCGACTAATTAGAGCATAAAATTCAACCTAGACTCTGCTAATGATCTGAAAATCATCCCACATCCGGCTGGCTAAAGTATAGCCTCAGTCCATATATCATCCTCAGCATCAGAATCCTCATAAAAAATTAGCAATATTTCATTGTGTCTCATTCAAGTTGGGATCTAGGTCAACTTGCTATTTTGGTTCTCTCTGCAAACGAAGTTATGAAGTCCAACACAAGCCATCCATTCTGGATGCACAGCATTTTTCCTTTCAGGATGGCATTTTTTGCCTTTGATTTTTGTTGTTTGTCTCATAGTTAGCAATCTTGCTTCCTTATGAAATATTTTCTTTGTGATTAATCAGGAATTAGAAACCTTTTAACTTCCATAAAAAAAAAGAATAATCTACAGTATATTTGGTAGACATCATTATGCTGTTCATAGTTATTTTTCCATCCTCTTGATGTGTGGATTCTAATTTTTTAGCCATGGTCTCAGCTAGAATCATGCTGGTGATATATATGGAGAAATAACATTTTAAATTACAAGCTTAATTAGCAATACACCTGTTTTAATGTTTATTCATGAGAACCTGCTATATTGAGACAGATCATATCATAACAGGGTTGATTTTATTTTGACTCATTTCCATGAATCAGGTGGATGTCCTATTATTATCATCTGGGAGCCATGAATCTCCATCCCTTGTAAGAGATAGAGCACTAAAATATTTATACATGCTGTTTGGTGGAGGTGCCTGCTGCTTTGCCATTCATGGAAATGTGTTAACTGCATTGATCAAGATCCTTGATGAGAAAGAGCTTTCACCAAAATTTCGTTGTAAAGTTCTACAGATTTTACATAAGGTAATTTTCATGATCTATAGTATTGACGTCATGTTAGTCATAATTGCTATTTCCTGACTGGTGCATTTGAACCACAGGTAGTGTGTGGTATTCTTCCAGATCTGCCTTGGATAGACATGACTGATCTTTTTAGTCTTGTTCTTATTGTGAAAAATGCTGCACAATCTTCTCTCAAGGCAGAGAGAATCCTTGCTCTTTATTTCCTTGTAGATATGGTCTGCATTTTAAAGAAATTAATACAAGCACACTTGAGTTCTTTTCCTGAAAAGTGGGAGGCCATGTCCTTGGAATTTCAAAGAAGTTCTGATGATTGTCAAGATAGATCCACACTTCTAGTTCGTGCTGCAATTCAGTTAATTATAGATGAGATGAACTCTCTAATGAAGCCGGTAATGTTTGGCTCTGGTGTTGCTCTGCCTGAAGCAAAGCAAGAATTCAGAAGCTTACTTAAGCTTATTCTTCAGCTTGTTCTGGAGTATTCTTCATTAGCTCATGTTATCCTTGATAGGCTAAGATTTTTAATACAAACTTGGGCTAGTGCATGTACCACAGTTAATACGCAAATTGCCAACTTTTCTGGAGGACTTTCTCAAGCAGAATGCAATGCCTACAAGTGTGAGTATCTTCTCGAAGCTCATGGACCTGATAATGGAAAGGAGAGATCTGTTAGTTATGAGCTAATACCATGCATTTGCAGGTTCACAATTTCTTGCCTCAATATACTTGATGAAACTGGCGCGCTAAGAAGTGAAGTATGTCACATAGTGAGGTCCTTACTGGAATGCATAAGGAAGAGTGGATCTTGTGATGCATGTGAAATGTATTCACTTGATATGCATTTAGATATTTTGTTCAGCAGTTGTTGGAAGACTGAAAAAAATATGCAGCATTATGAGGAATCCAAGTTTTGTTCTGGGTCAGGCTTCTCTCACAACGTGTACTGGGTTGCTCAGGAAAAATCTGCACTATATTTTACCAAAAACATGTTAAGAGAAAGGAAGTACTGGGAAGCCTATAGAGCTGGAATGTATGCTTGTCAGGAAGGCGCATGGTTTGCAGCTGCTTTTACATTTAGGAAATTGATGGACCGTGTGCAATCAGAATTTTTCCGTTCATGGATTAGATCTCTGATGCTTTTGGCTGGTGCAGAAAGTGAAATTAAACTGATTCTTTTCCCAGACGTAGGAATTGAAATGATTAACAGGATGCACACTAAACATGATTGTGAAAAAGCATTTGGTAGTGTTGAACGAGGAAAAGAGTGTAAAAGGGGAGATATTAATTTGCGTGCTTCTAGAGGAAGGTTCACAAAGATTCATAGTAGAATCTGCTCTTCTGAGGAGATTTTATCAGCTTCTGAGGCTACTGATGGTGTCTACTATTTCCAGAGATGGTTTTTGAGTCTCAGAAGCAAGGTCCTCAATATCGTTACTGATATGTTAAGGCTCTTTGACTCGCATGCATTTAATGAAAAACGACTTGACAAAGGTCTTGAAGGAAGTATGAAAACCCCTTTTAACCTTCAAGCTTTACATGCCATTACATCTGATTTCGTCAATCTTTCACTTAAATTGAATGGTATTGCAAAAGAATATGATCTCCTTGCTGTGTCTTTCTTGGATATTGATCATAAAAGTTTTAGGAACATCTCAAGGCAGGCTCTTAGCTGTTCTGTATTAGCATTCTGCACTTCCTTTGCTCTCTTCTTTTTGAACTCACCTGCCCACAAGAATGCCTTGTCCAGCATTCAGGGTGATATGGTAAAAATTTCACAAACTAAAGTTTTGAAGGACTTAACTGAGAGGTTGTGGAATCTGGATGAAAAATCTGCTACTGAACTTCAGAAGTTGATGGCCATACGCAGGGAAGCAGTGCATAACATGCAATCCAGAACTGAATCAAATAACTGTGTGCTTATTGATAGGGTAGCTTTATTGGTCTACAAGTGTTGCATAGCAGGTACTCTGGACATTCAAGAAGACTCGAAAGGAGTGAAAGATGAAGAAGGTTTACTTAGACTTTGTTCGAAGGGAATTCGAATGTTGTCTGGTATAATTGAAAGGTGGATCGAGGTACCTTGCTCTATTCCAAAATATTTCTTCAGGATAAGGTATGCATTAAAGAAATAACTCTATCAGTTCATTTGTATTTCTTTGTTTATTTCTCATTTGTGTCCAGTTAAATTAAACCCCGTTTGTTCTATATTTTACTATCCATTTTTGTTTCGTGTTTTTTTTTTAAGTTCAAACAAATAGAGTTTTCTCTGCATTAAACTGAAGATACTAAATAAATATTAACTATTGTGCAGGACTTGTGTTTGTGCAGAGCTTTTCATCTTCAATACTGATTCCTCAAATCCTAACAGATTATCTATTACACCAGGCTCCCAGTTGTCTTTAAATCTCTGTCTCCAGCTGAAAAGTTCATCACAAGTTCCTCTTGAAGGCATTGCTAAAATCTACTGCATTATTGCGGCAAGACCATCTGACGGTCTGCTTAATGATGATGGCAAACTTGGTAAACAAAAACCGTGGCGTTTCCAAGCTAGTAAAAGTGATGAAATACTTGAATTGTATGATATATTATTGCATCACATAAGGATCAACACCATGAAGGCTTCCAATAAGCGTTCTGATGTTGATGATGGTGGTTTGGTGACTTCTTTTGTTTATTTTGAACCTAATGATAAGGGGCAAGGTTTTTCAACATGTTTGTTAGATGTTTCTGCATTCCCTGAAGGCTCATATCCAATAAAGTGGCATAGCTGTTGTGCCGATAAAAAAGGCCACTATTGGAGCCTTTTACCTTCGAACCTCGGGTTGTTCTTCACAATTAAGAATTCATGATGCAGAAGTTCTTTAAAAAAGCTTCCATCTTGTATGTGATGGATTAATAAGCTATTCTGCCTTCCTTTTCTGGGTTTAAATTCATGCTATAATCTAGTGTGCAATCAGAGGGTGAGTGCTTTGTGACCTGGAGGTAGGGATGCATTCGGTTCGGATACAACTCGGATGTGATGCTTACCATATCCATATCCGCTTACCCATCTCGGATATGGATACGGATATACCTCGGTAAGGAAAATTTATATCCATATCCACTAAAATAGAATACGGTTATAGATATAGATGCGGATATATAAGCAGATATGCATGCGGATACTGAATAGATATGAGAAAACTAGATAGTATTGAGGAAAACATAGTTCGTGTGATGCAAAAGAGTTCGTAAATATGTTCATTATAACTGAAAAGCTAAGATTAGACATCTTGATCATCAAAATTAACCACAAATTCATATTCTAAGACTCGAAACTATCGTGATAGTATGACTAATATGTATTAGGATATTTCGGATACGAATACAGATATTTCACTACAAGACCATATCCGTAACAATATCCTATAGGTTATATAGACTTGGGTAATCATATCTGTATCCTCACTTATGCGGTTACGGATATTTTGTAGGATACAGACACAGTTTAGCACCCCTACTTGGAGGTCACAGGTTCGAATTTCAGAAACAACCTCTCCGCAAAGCGGGGGTAAGACTACGCACATCTGACTCTCCTCGGGGCCTACAATGGTGGGAGCCTCATGCCTTGGGCCACCCTTCTAATCAAGTGTGCAGTCACCAGAGAGGGACAGGAGGAAGGCACATACTTGAACACTGTACCTGAGGTGACCAGGGTTGAGAAGAATGCCACTAATTGTCAGAGAACAAGCTGAAGGGCTATTGGGAACAAAACAATAATGTATAGGAGGTGCACTATTCATGCACCTCAATGGAGATGGATTTGATGGGATTGAAATTTTGATTCATAAGTCAGGTGGGCCAAAGAGCTTTGCTTATGTCATGTTTCTAGAAGTTATATTTGGAGGGTTCTCCAACTATGAAAGCAAACAAACATGTTGGCGGACTGAAATTATTGTTCATCATCTAGGTATGGGATTGTTCTGTGCACTGTCGTGACCATAAGAATCATTACATGCTACTACACGTATACTGTTATAGTCGAGGGATTCAGAAAGAGAATCTGTACGTTTTCTATAGCCCTTGTTTGTGAAAACTTAGATGTTTTTATACACAAACACATACCATAGACATATATGCATAAATGGATATGACCATGCACAAGCACACCACATGCATATACATGCACATCCTGACGACATACAGGCTTATGCTCATGCATCTACACAAGCTGCATGTACACGTGGCAACCTTTCATGGTTATTTGCAATTTTGAAATCCAGTTTTTCTCTTTTTTCTCTAATTAGCCTTTCTTCTGGTTTTTGACATCTCGGAACTTTCTAGAGGTTACTAATACCGGAAAACATGGTTTTGGTGATAAATTATTGTGATGAAAACTTTCTTTGATATAATTACTTCTGTCAAAAGTATGTTACAAATAGATTTTCCACGGGAAATACCAATATTGGGTAAAGGTCGTAGTCTCGCAGACTAGAAATACAGATTGAACTCATGTTGGGAAAAAATTGATCTTTCAAGAAATGTTCTTTTAAATTCAATCATAAAGAGTATGTGCAAGTATATCACATAGAATTACTAGTTTTTCGAGTGTTGAGTCTGGGAATAAATAGCTGCCTTAAACAAACATGATCTTACATATTTGTATATTGACCCTTATGTCATTGTTATCTCGCTTTTCCTGTAATCCCAACCTTCTTATTCCTCATCATTACCTTCTCATTACACCACGTCTAATGTTCCTGTCTGATACACGTCTAATGTTCATGTCTATTTTGGCAACTTTTTGAGTGGTATATCATGAATTTCTCGATATATCATGTGATGTTTCGTCCTTCAAAAAAAAAAAAAAAGTGAAATGTTGCAATGTTGTTTTGGACTTTGATTTCTTTTAAAAGATTCATCTAGGTTTATGGTTCAGTTAAGGTCTAAATCCAAATAAATATCTGCTTATGTAAATAATTGTGAAGAAGAATTAGAGCTCAACTTAGACGAATTTTTTGACAGAAGTCTTGCAAAAAATATTATCTTTCTCCACAGCTCCATGGTGCATCAGGTTTTAACATCTATGTATGTATATAGACATTATTTGATATGACACCCCAATATTTAATAAATGTCTCTAATATAACCCTGACATTTGCCATCTAATATGGAAAATTTTCCATTCGACATATCCTTGGCATCTGATTAAAACACTAGTCTACGTCGTAATTTCTTTCCCAATTAGGTATGTCGAATTGATGGTAACCACATAAGCTTTTCAGTGTTAAACAATTGTGTAGACTATGTTGCATGGGTACTTCTAACATGAAGCAATACCCAACATATCTCGGTTCCCATACTCAATACTTCCTGGATACTCCTTGAATATAGGCATACAATTATTCATATGTGTAGTCAATTATGCAATGCACTTTTTAATTTAAAACACTCTTCATATGCTTCTTGGACAAGGGTCAAGTTCATTTCCATATATATTCAGTTGTGACTAGGTGTTTTAGCCCGTGTGTTGGTGTCCTCACTTGTATCGGTACCTTTACGTGTATCCAGTGTTATCCATGCACGAAGCATAGAGTGGGGTGCAAAGTCTCTTCATGTGTACAAGATGCAACGCGATGCACACACCCGAATGGAGTGAGGCACATATCACACACATAATGTTTCAAGATAGATAATCAAGCAAGAAATTACATTTTAATGAATTTTATATAAAAATTATCAAGATAAAAAATATCGACTACCAAATCACAGAATAAGACCTTAATTCCTAATGCTGACACATCCAGAATAGTAGTGAAGTTCATTATTTTCCAAATCAAAAGTCAAATAAGAGTAATTTCGAAGCAAACTCAAATAGCAAATGAGGATTAGTTAGGGTCCTCAATTTGGCTAGTAAAAAGATCAAATTGGTTTGTTTTACCTTTTGGGATATGGGTTATTAGGTATAAAAACCTGATTGAAATGTTAAAGAGCTAAAATACGCAAGGCTATGTGTTGCATGCACCATGCGAAGGGTAGGGTACTTGGAGGCATAGAAACCGTTGCTGCATCAGATGCGGGGTGCTTCGTCACCGGGGAGCATGAGGCACAGTGAGGTGCACACCTTTGATAACATTGCTGTATCCATGCAACTTAAATGGTGGATCACTGATTACGAATTTCTTTATTTTATGTCTAATCGATTTTATCTAGATGTATCTCTTGCGCATGTAAACTTCACATAAGGTTTAAACCGAAGTCCATCAGAAGTGGACAAGCTATTTAATATAGAATGATGTAGGAAAGTGGATAGACTTGGTGAGAAAGAATATCATGGAAGAATAATAGAAATAATTGAAGTTCCGATTCCTCTGAAAAGATTCAGAAAGCAGCCTTAACTAGAGGTACAGAGCTTAAAAGTTTCACCTTTTCAAACCCAACAAATGAGAGAGAAAAGTTTGCAATTAACCACTGTTCTAAATTTTATTCCATCTAGCAAGTCAGAATTTTCTAATTTCCTAGATGGATGTATGATAAACTTTATTTTAAATGTATTGAAAAGTATTTTCTGAGATTTGGTTAGTTCTCGATAAGAGTCATAAATTAGTTAGAATTCCTAATTAGTAGGATCAAATTTGTTTGAAGACCTTTAAAAAAAAGCCTACTTTAGCTAGGATAACATTTTGTTTTATTAGGATATTTTTTAGTATCTTTAAATCCTAGTTTTGTTGGGATTAAAAATTCTAGTTTTGTTTCAGTTTAGGTCCATAAATATACATTATTGTATTGCTTACTTTTTTGTTGATAAATTTTGAGTGATGATTGACAATAAAACCACTGATTAGGTGATCGTTGGGCCTGTAATCTTAAAATGTGAAATCCTACCCAATATAGGAGGTTTGAAACCTTTGATCTATCTTTTAATTTTCATACCACATCTCCATAAAAATAAACTAGTTGCCACGTATCTCACTTAAATTGTAATTCCTATCAAATCTGTGCAATTGCTATTTTGGTATTAAATTGAAGAGAGATCCACTATCAAATTTCATGACTTTTTTCATGTCTTATTCACAATTCTCATAATCTTATTCATCTTCACATGGTCCATATTATCATTATAATTACTCATTGTGAGATACCTCCTCGAACATGTTACAGTCCTTTTAATTTTTAAGATATTCCTTGTTTTTGGTCTAAAAATATACATACTTGAATTACATTTTTTACTTGACAAATTGAATGATTTGATAACAAAACCACTGGTAGAGTATTATTTGATATAAAACCATAAGGTGTGAAGTTTTACCTTGTACTGCAAGGTGTAAACTATATGTCTATGCTGATCTTTCTCACTAGATCTCAAGAAATACACCAATCATCTTTTATCCTACTGAAGTCCTAATATTCACTAAAACTATTGTCTAGACTGGTTAATATTTTGTATGCGTGACCAAATCATATTCGGAAAAGCAGAGCTTTTGCAATTTTTTTCCTGCACAACAAATCTTTCAAGACATTTTTTTATGTTAATTATTCAGCTCTTTATAAACTAAGACCATGTTTGGATTGAGTACTATTTTGAGTAATAAACCATTATCCTGTAAAATAAAATAGTTGGGTGCTTGGTTCAAGAATTCAAGGTGGGATTAGGTTGGACTATTTAATCCTTTAAAATGAAATTGTCTCTAAATTTCAGACTACCACTTGGGATTAGATAAAAAAGACCCTTTTACCCTTATCTCTCTTAAAAACTATGTTAGGTATTCCTTTCTAATTATCCTTCACTTGTCACCGTCACTAAGGACATAAAAAAGGATAAAGAAAAATATCAGAAGATGAGGACTTGTGGGAAACAAGAAATCAGAACCATGGTGAGGACTATTTAATTCATGCTTGGAAATTCGTTTGTTCTTTGGTAAATTGAGGACTCC